TGAGAATGGCTGACGGTCAGATTCCAAAAGATCTTCTGAATGGAGAATTACAGCAGGGAAAGAGCCCCAGAGGGAGACCACAGCTGTGATACAAGGCCTTAGGAATGGACCTGAACAGATGGGAAACCTTGACATCTGAGTGTTCAGCCTGGAGGCAGGCGGTGCAGCATGGCCTCTCCCAATTTGAAGAGACCCTTGTCCAACAGGCCGAGGAAAAGAGGCAGTCCTGAAAGATTGTATTTGTCTTCAATGTGGAAGGGATTGTCATTCTCAAATTGACCTTTTCAGCCACAGTAGATGTTCTTCCATGATCTGTATTCAGAGCATGTTACCATAGTCTCTCAAGACTGAAGGATGCCTACAACAAGATGTTGAGAATTTTCTGAAGACAGGTAAGATGAAAACAATGTAGTTTTCTTGTATGGTGTTGACAGATAATCCCTGTTGTTACTCCATATACCTTTATCAAAAAGGAGAACAAAAGGAAACACTGATTTGCATAAAATAGTATAGGCCAATTCATATGTACAGATGCAAATTGAGATTTTTTTTTTAAAAAAAACACAGTGTAACAATTACTGTGGATCTCACTGGAATGGGGAAGACAGTGATCAAGTGATCTATGTGCTTGCTGAATCCAGGTCCTGCTCATTGTGGATGAACAGCTTCAAAATCCCAAATCATTTGTGGAGACAACTGAGATGAGCAAGAATTTCTAATTCCACAGTTTGTGCTGGTTTGTTTTTCCCCAGAACAGGTGTTTGGCATTGCCCAGCTCTGCCTCCTCTGGTGGGCACACATTCAGAGGCAATGACCTGGCTTCCCTGCCCTGCCTCCTCTGGGCACTGCCTCTGACTGGGTTCCCACCAGAGGAGGCAGGACTGGGAAGCACCAGACACCTGTTTGGCCAAAAAAACGAATGGGCACTAATTGCTGGTTCAGCAGTTCATGCCTTTCCTAGACCAGATCCTTGTCTGACCCCTCACGGGGATTTACTATATATGAGGACACAGTATACTGTAAGTATCCAATGTGCCTGAAGAATGGGATTTTGGTACATTTTGGGATTTGGCCTCACACTGAAACAAATTTGTTAAATCTTTAAAGTTCCACAACATTTTGTCCTTTTTTTTGT